GTGGTTCAGATAAAGATCGTTTATTCTGTTTATCGCTAGCTGAGTTCTGGGTATGCAGAAAATCACATTGTGTATATTTAAATGGCGACAGGATCAGTGGTTCCACTGATTAGGAACAAGGATAGACATGCACTTTCTATAGTGCCTCTCTCCAGGGAGGCTTCTCCTCTTTGCACATGTAATTTCCTTTTTCCTTGTCTCAATCCTGAAGAGTGAGGATTTCTGTCGGTTTTACAGAGGAGAAGTTGCTGTCCAGGGAGGTCAGGCGACTTGCTCAGCAATGGGCTCGCTCGTTCACTCCAACCCGAGTGTCCTGGCACATGCCAACCACATGGCTAGAAAGCGGGAGCTGTAACCCTGCCCTGGTTATTGGGTTTCCTATTTGTCTTATTCACCTAACACACTTAGAGGTCCTTAAAAATATCTCTAATTATGGAAAAATTTAACCCTATAGAAAAGTAGACAGAATAATGACCCCGTAGAGGCCCTTTTAATTCAACCCAAAATTGGTTGCATTTACAGTTGCCAAAGGTTGAGGGCACTGAATGAAAAGGAAACATGAACTTGCTGGTTGCCTTTTCTTTCTTAAAACAAAAAAGATATTCAGGGCAAATTTTAGAATCATTGATGGTTTCTAGGAAGATTTTCTTTTTTGGAAGAAAAAAGGTACTCTTGTCTCCTTAATTGTTCTCAGCGTTCTTTGTCACCAATCATGATATTCTTTGTGGAAAGTATTAATATACCATCTTCCTGTGTTCAATATTCCCATTAACAATAAAATGTCTAATGAAAATGTCTGCATGAAAAGCCCTGAGCAGTAATTTCAGAGACAAATAAAAGATGAACCAATAAGTGTTTCTTCTGAAATGAATGATGCAAATTAATTGATATCTTAATAAGCCTTCAGCATAAAGATTATTAGCTAGATTGAATCAGAACTGAAAAATATCTTGAAGGAAAAGCTGAGGACATCGGTGGGGGAGAAAGATGTTATCTGTCAATATTCTGTTAGAAATCTCTTTCGCTCGATGAGAAAGTTCCAAAGAGGGGGCCAAAAAGGACAGCACGCTTTATGTGTGAGTCCCTGCCTGCTCTAGTCTGGCCAGGTTTGGGAACTGAAACCTAGTCCTGTTCCTGAGCTAATGGGAACCCATAGGTATAGAAGTTCTACCCCTAGGAAGCCCCCAGGGCCCTCATAATACCACCACTGGGCTGCAGACTCCTTCCTTGGTCTCTCTAGAGAATAGAAGCCCTGTGCAGGCAGAACCTTCCTCTATTTTGTTTGCATTTGTAACCCCAGTGTAGCTAGATGCTCGACTTACAGTGATAATAATAACTTAATAGCAAGCAATTATATAGGGCTTACTATGTGTTCTGGGTATTGTTCTGAGCACTTACTTAAAATAACTCAGGTTAGCTTCATAACAGCAGTGTGAGGTAGGGGCTATTAGTATCTCCACTTTACAAATGAGTATATTGAGACACAGAGAGGTTGAGCAAGTAGCCCAAGGTCACACAGCTATTAATGGTGGATTAGGGATTTGAACCACAGCAGTCTGGCTACACAGTCCTCGCTCTTTTTTTTTTTTTTTTAATAGGGTCTTGCTATATCACCCTGGCTGGTCTTAAACTCCTGGGCTCAAGCAATTTTCCTGCCTCAGCCTCCCAAGTAGCTGGGACTACAGAGGCACACCTCAACACCTAGCTACTTTTTGTATTTTTAGTAGAGATGGGGTCTTACTCTTGCTCAAGCTGGTCTCAAACTCCTGAGCTCAAGTGATCCTTTTGCCTCAGACTCCCAGAGTGCTAGGATTATAGGTGCAAGCCACCGTGTCTGGCTAACTCCTAGCTTTTATTTAAGTTGTCTATAGGTCTAGAGCTTTATTCTACTTTATGCCAGACACTGCCAGCCTCTCTCTGGGGAAGGGGATGGAGAAGCTACAGATGTTTCCTGTATTCCTAAGAACTGTTTTCTGTCCTATTTCAACCTGGATAGCCTGTCAAAAAATTATCCCCCCTGAGAGGTTCTGCTGGCCATGGCCTGGTCCTCCATCCAATAAGACCTGCACCCCTAATGTCAAGGCCAGCCTAAGTTCCACCAAGTTTACTTCTGTGGTCATTGTGAATCACGGGGCAAATGGCACGCTACATCTGCAGTAACTTTATGGGATGCTTTATTGCTGAGGCTGCTTCGATAATAATGGTATGTAGGGTGTAGTTTTATGAGGTTCAAAACACTTACTAGGTATGTTTTATTTAGCAAGATAGTGTTCCCTGAGGAGGGTTCCCTGGAAGCATCTATCTATAAACGGTTGTCAGAACTAGAGCCCTGAGTAAGGGAGTAAGCTGGTGGGTGGGGGGATGGGCTGGAACCACAGAGATGATGTTTCCCATCTTACAGAGGGGGCATGGTGGCTCCTTGTCACAGTGGAGTCGATGTGAGAGATGGAAGAGATCTCAGGACACAGCAGGAAGGGCCTGTGGTTTGGAGTTGGGCCGTGGATTGAAGACTCACCTCTATAACCTGCCAGCCAAGAGGCTGCCTCATTCAACCTCTCTAGGTTGCCTTCCTCATCTATGAAATGGGGATAGCGCCTAATTCACAAAGTGACTACCAGCTTCAAAAGTTTCAAAAAGGCTTTTCACTTAAAAATCGTTCCACAAGGGAGTGATGTGAACAATGACCAAGGCCTCCCAACACTGGACTCTGGGTCTTCCTGCAAGCTTCTGACTCCTGGATGCTTGGTAAATGTGGATGGTTCTCTTGAGACCAAGTGAAGTGCAAGTTCAGCGGGCACAGTGGTGCCCAGCAATCTCCATTTTAACAAGCTCGCCTACTGATTTGAATGCCCTCTACTGTTTGAGATCCACTCAGCAACCACAAACAGCAACACAAAGGAAGTGCTCTGGGTTTGATTTGAGCCCTCTCTTCCTTTGGTCAAAGTCCAGAACCTGAGATCTGAATGAATTGGGTTGACACGGTCTCTGTGGCTGGCGGAATTTGGAGGCAGGTGGGCAGGGCCAGTGGCTGTAGCTGCCACTTCCTGCCGGACACTCAGATGAGGGGAGGGGGGTGAAAATGCGACTGAAGCCCAAGCCTCCTCCGGCCTGAGCGGGAAGGCCGAGGGCCTCACCCGGGCAGGTGGCTCTTGTAAGCTCTGTGTCTTAGCAGCCTTGCCTGACAGCTGCCACCTGCCACCCGCCCTGCTTCTAAGCTTGGCTGCTGAGGCCAAACCCATGTTTGCAGCACAGAGCTCATGTGAAAGGTCCATCCTAAGTGTAGGGGTGAAGGGGTGGGGGGCCTTCAGGCTTGGCAGAGAGGCAACCTCATGGTCCCAAGGCCCCTCGACTCTGAAATCATCCCATCCATAACTGCTCTTGCACTCTGGCATCTGAAATGCCCAGTAGAGTCCTGTCGCAGGAAGCCCTGGATGTGTGGGGCAGACTGGGAACATGACCTTCAGAGGAACACTCCTCTCTTGAGCGTTTCATCCCCTGTGACTTCTAGGGAGGCCCAAGCCCAGAAAACAGCAATGCCCTAGACTGGGGGAGATGCTGTATCTCCCCCTGTTGTGCCTTCTGCTCCCCCATCCCAGCCCCTTTGCGTGTTTGTGCTGTTTCCAGAGCTCTTTGCCAGGTGGGGTGCTCGGCTGGGGAAGTGTGTACAGTAAGGAGACCAGCTCTGGCATTGCCCCAGAAGCTGCTGCTTGAGTCTCCCCTGGGGAAGCCCCTTCCAGGGCCATAGCCACTAAGGAGGGCTGAGGAGGGCTGTGCACCTGAGCTTGCTGGGAAGGGCCTGGATCACGGGGCCATGGGATTGTTGCCAGGGTAACTCCTCTCACCCCACTCAGTGGCGGTGAGAGTCTCTGCCCTGCACAGGAGAGTCAATAGCTAGTTCAGACTAACACCCCTTCCTCTGCCCATAGCGCTAAAGGAAAAACACAAACTCCTTATAGTTGTGGAATTCTCTGTTTTCCAAAGTGCTCTCAATGTGTTATCCCATTGGCTCATCAAGACAACCACACAAAGTCAGTAGCACGGTTCCCATATTATGGACATAGACAAAAGTCCACAGAGGTCACTGAGTTCGTAACCATCCAAGATCCAAACCTGACCCAAACTTAGCTTTTCCAGTTCTGGGTTCCCATCATCTTGCAGGGTTGGTGTCTTTGCATGCTCTTTGCAAAGGCCATCTGTGGGTTTTCTAGGCAAAGATTTGTAAATATTTGGGGCTAGTGTGGACTTTCCCAAAATGCACTGCCAGGCACTCACTAACAAAAGATTCAAGAATCAAATGAGATTGGGAAATAAGTGCATATTATATAGGGCATGTTAGGATAGTAAAAGCTCCAAAAAGCACGTCAGTGAGAAATTGGATCAACTCAGTTCAACCCTGAGTATCCAAAACTTGTCTGGCAATAGAGCCACATAATGTCCACCAACAATCGACCAAATCTGATGAACCTACTGTGCAAAGGGTGAGCCAGGCTCCTTCGCAACTACGGTGACAACAAAGACACAAAGATGAGGGGCAGCCACTTATTTCTGTACAAAGAAAAGGAAATCACCACACCTCTTCCATGCCCCTCGCCCCATCAGGACAGGACCTCACAGAATCACCTCGGTGCCTCCAAATCCAGCAGTGTGCTGCAGCCAATAGTTAAACTCAGAAACTGTGAGTCACTGGGAACGTCAAATAGACCACGGTGGGAGAATTTATTTCTATTATAAAAATCAGCAAACACTAGAAATCAGGGCTTTCCCTCTTGTCCCCTTGTCTCGAGAGCTGGTTTGCCAGTGTACCACTAGCCCTGGGACATTTTTTGAAATTGTTAGGAAATTTGGGAGGGCTGTGACATCTGAGTGCCGGGGCCAATCTGACACAGGAGTCTCAGCTCGTCCTAGTTGCCAACACTCTTGAATGAGAGCCGAGAATTGCACAGAATGAGAACCTTCCAGCCACCCCACAAGAGTCAGAAAGTGCCTCGTGGCCTGCTTACCTTGATGTCTGTTACCAGCCAATGTCTCCAGAATCTGCTTCTGGGATCTGACCTGCTAGGGGCATCTGGGTCCACCATCACCAGGATATAGCTTGCGCCCTGCAACACACACAGCAAACAGTAATGTAGCATCCCGGCTAGAAGTATGGTAGGGCAATAGCAAGGGGACTGACTCTCCTTTTACCACCATTCCAACCAAGAATGTCTGAACAGCCACTGGGGCTTCCTACCCACTTCTTTGTTTTCATTTCTCTTGTGTCACATGTTCATGCAGAGAAGTAGAGAGGAGGAATTTTGGTTCTACCTTTGTGAGGAAGAATAAATCCAACAGGCATATTTACTAAGCACCCGGGAGTCCCTAGCACCATGCTAGGTGATGTGGAGGAAATAAAGAAACCTGAAACAGGGCTTCTGCCCTCAAGAAGCTTCCAATGTAGTTGTACTGACTTATCTGTTAATTCAGCAAACATGTGAGAACTCACTCTGTGTCAGGAACAATACCAACTGCAAGGGACACTAGGGTTCATTCATCCCTTCAACAAGCCACTTACTGAACATCTACTATTGCCAGCAGCTGTTCCAGGTGCTAGGAAGCCAATGGAGCACAAGACAGTAAGAGCTGTACTTTCAGGAAGCTTTTATTCTAGGTAACAGACACAGATGATAAAAATAAATAAATAAATAAGCAAGGAAACGTCAAGTTGTGATTAGTCTATGACAAAAATAAAACAGGGTGGGATGAGAGGTGGTAAGCATCCCAGGAAGAGGAAGCAGCTGCCACAAAGGCCTTCAGATGGGCAAGAGGTAGGCTTTGAGGAACAGAAAGAGCACCCCTGTGGCCAGGGACACGCATGGGCAAGAGTGGATGCAGCGGGTGGGAGAGGTGGCCAGGGCAAGGCCACAGAAGGCTTCCTAGGCCAGGGTGAGGAGTGGGAATTGATTCAAAGTGCAACACAAAACTATTGCAGGATTTTAAGCAGGTCAGTGATATCCTCTGATTCATGGAGGATTTTCAGGAGATTGTTTGGGCTGCTGGGTAGAAAATAAATGGTTGGCCAAAGGCCAGAGAGGAAGCCAGGAGGCCAGTTAAGAGACCCTTGTAAGCAGTACAGTGAGGAATGATGGTATCTTGGACCAGGATGGTAGCAATGGAGACAGAAACAAATAGATGGATTCGGGAAGTATTTTTAGATAGAATCCATGGAGTTTGCTGATGGATTATCTGGATAGTAGGGCAGGGAGAAGGGGATGGAGAAAGGGAAATTGAAGATGACTCCTGGGTTTTTGGTTGAGCACCTGGGACCAGTTCATGGGACAGAGAAGACTTGCAGAGGAGGATGTTGGAAGGGGCACACTGAGAGTTGTTTTAGGCACGTTCATTTGAAATGCCTCTGAGAAGATAATCTAGTATGTATGTCAGAGTCTGTAGGTTGAGGGAGAGATTAGGACTGGATGGATAGGTTTCAGAGTCATTGACATTTAGATGATCTTTAAATCTGTAGAATCGACACAAAGAGGAAAAGAAGTCTCACGACTGAACTCTAGGACATGCTAACATGGAGAAGACGGGAGACTCTGGGAAAGGGCATGTGGAGACCAAAAGGTGAGGGGAACAGCTGCAGAGCAGGTGGCATGAAAGTCAAGACAGAAAGCATCTTAAGGAGGAGAAAGTGACCAGCTGTGTCAAATGCTGCTGAAAGGCAAGGCTGGTTGAGGACACAGATATGGCAACTTGGAGATCACCCTTATCTTGACAAGGCCAGTTTCAGTGGAGTAGAAAGGACTGAGGTTTGATGGGAATAAGTCGAGCTGAGATGGGAGGTGAGCAACTGGAGGTAGCTACGAAAGATGATAATGAGAAGGGAAGTTTTGGTGTGGACAGCTGAGGCATGGAGTGGCTCTTACTAGAGAGAAGGAAAAGCCAAGAGATCTTTTTATTAAGAGACGGATGATAGTTAGGCATCTCTGCACGCCAATGGAAATGATCTAGGAGAGAGGGAGGTACATGGCAGAGAGGAGGAAGAGGGTCATTGAAAGAGCCAACTCTGGAAGGCGGGAGGGGACAGGACCCAGAGCTGAAGTGGAGGGCTGGGTCTCAGGTAGGAGCAGAGGATACAGGTTTAGGTGCAAGAGAACTGGAAGATGTGGTAGTGGGAAAAGAGGAAGGCGTCTTCTGTTTGCTTCTATTTTCTAATGGATCAGAGGCCAGGTCACAGAGAAAGAGGGATTATAGGAAGTTTGAGAAGAAGGTGTCAAACAGTCATTTAAGAAAATGAGGCCGGCGCGGTGGCTCACGCCTGTAATCCTAGCTCTTGGGAGGCCGAGGCGGCTGGATTGCTCAAGGTCAGGAGTTCAAAACCAGCCTGAGCAAGAGCGAGACCCCGTCTCTACTATAAATAGAAAGAAATTAATTGGCCAACTGATATATATATAAAAAATTAGCCGGCATGGGGCCATGCCTTAGTCCCAGCTACTCGGGAGGCTGAGGCAGAAGGATCGCTTGAGGCCAGGAGTTTGAGGTTGCTGTGAGCTAGGCTAACGCCACGGCACTCACTCTAGCCTGGACAACAAAGCGAGACTCTGTCTCAAAAAAAAAAAAAAAGAAACGAGAACATGAGTATACTATAGATATAGAGTAGGGTGACTTGGTAATATTACATTCCACAGTTGTGTGCTATTCAGCTGTTCAAGGGCAGACATGGAGGGAGGGGAATCACTGGTAACTTTTCAAAAGTGAGTAGTTTAAAGATAAAAATACTGACTGTTGCATTTCAAGATCCAAAAGAAGCAACAAACCACACATTAGATACTATAGGAAATTAAATCAGAATGTGAAGATAAGCCCAAGAAAATCTCCAAGGACTCAGAAGGAAAGGATAAAGAGATGAAAATATTGGAGGAAAAGAAGGGAGGGAGGGAGGGAGGGAGGGAGAGAGAGAGAGAGAGAGAGAGAGAGAGAGAGAATCCCAATAGAGTCCCAGAAGAAAAATGTATATAGTATTTGATACATCCAAGAATTGCTTCTAACTAAAGTAACAGGAAATGAAAAGAAACTGAATGTAAATACAGTAAAAGAAAAAATAAAACCATCTACCCTCTTTCTTTTCCTTTTTTTGCAAATAACATGATCACCTACATGAGAATCCAAAAAAGAATCAACTGAAAACAAATAGACTAATATTCAGTAATATAAGCAGTTACAAATTGTACACACAACCAGTCCTTTCCTACATACTAATAGTAGTCATCAAGTATACTTTTAAGATCCCATTCACAATTGTAATAAAAAATGTAAAATATCCAAGAATAAGCTGGGAATGAAATGCAAGATTATAAAAACAAAACAAAAAACATTATTGATGTATATAAGAAGGAAACTTGAATAGATGGAGAGAGACATACAATGCTTTTAAATAAAAAAATCATTTTGCAAAGATGTCAATAAACCTTCAAGTAATTTGTTAATCTAGCATAATTCCAAACAAAATTCTAAATAAATATTTTGGAAACTTCACAGCATTGTTTTAAAGCTCGGTAAATGCAAAAAATAGGTAAATAAAAGAAAAAGATGTAGTCAAGGCAATACTGGTAAAGATAAAATAGGTATGGAATTGATTTTGTAGATATTAAAATATATTATAAAGCTATAATACCTAGAACAATATGGAGTTGATTTAGGAATAAATAAGGAAGAAAAATAGAAAATCCAGAGAGAAACTCAAGTTTTCAATATATGTATATTTAATATACGATAGTTATCATTTAATGATGTTTGCTATATGACAAAGTTATTTCAAATCAGTGGGGAAAGAATATATTCTATAAATGTTATTGGGAAAATTGGCTCACTATGTGGAATAAATAAACCTAGGTCTCTATTTCTTTCAGATACCAGAAAACTGCCATATTTAAATATAAAAATGAAAAATAAGATTTTAAAACCAATTAATAACATATTAAATTTATACAATGAAATATTCTATAGATCTTTATATACTTGTATGAGAAGATATCTGTAATATACTAATATTTGAAATAAGCATGTTATAGAATAGTTTTCATGATACCATCTCAAATGTGCAGGACAACTTTATATATCTAACTATATATATATTTATAGATATATTTGCATATGCATATAAAATGTCTGGAAAAATATATACCAAACTGTTAATAGTAAATGGCATGAAGGGAAGATTGATATATTTAACTAGATATAATTTTGCATCTTTTATATGGCAAAAAAAAATGCAAAGTAAAATTCAAAGACAATCAACTGAGGATAAATATTTGCAAGGTCTATGAAAAAGGGTTAATATCCTTAATATATAAAGTACTTTTAAAAATCAATAAGAAAAAGACTAGCAACCCCATGGAAAAACACACAAACAACATGAATAGGTAATTCATAAGATAAGAAATACAAATGATCAATAAACACATGAACAAATGTTCAATTTCCTAGTAATAAAAGACATTCAAAAAATAAAATCCAATCTTTGCCTATAAAATTGACACATATTTTTTATGTTTATCCTCAGAGTTTTTAAGGTATGGGAAAACAATGGGTAGAGTACAAAATTCTATGTTCCCTGTGATCCTATTGTCTTTTTAAAAGAAAGGAAGAAGACTCAAAACATATATCATACGCATCTGTATCCCCCCATGGAAAGAAGGCTAGAAAAATAAGACGTTAAATGTTGACTAATGATCTCTAAGTGATGGGATAATTATAAACTTTATTTTCTTCTTTGTGCTTTTCTGCATTTTCCAAAGTTTCTTCAATAAAATGCATTGCTTTTACTCTTAGAAAAAAAGATTTGTACTTAAAAAAAAAAAAAAAAGTCGCTGTAAGAAGTCCCAGAACCCTCATTCTTCTGTTCAAACAATAGCCAGGGGAATTCTCAATGGCAGGCTGTTCTTCCTTCCCCACCCCTACCTCTCCCCTGGGAGGAGGAAATCAGCCAGATTCCTTCCGGCTGGTGAAAAATTCATTTCTGACCAAGGCAGTCCATCCTTTAAGCATGGCCAAGAGAGAAAGATGTGCATCAACACTTCCAACAAGGGAATTGTCACTAGGGATTTTTGTATTTGCCACA